TCACACAACGTCCTGGGCAATACGAAGCGCACGTACAGCCATGAGCGGCGAACGCAGAAGAGGGCTTACAACTGGAAGCTGCGCGAGCGAGCGAGCCAGCGCTGGCCTCGGCGCATTGGAGCGGCAACGCTGCAATGCCGCCGTGTCCGTGTGCACAGACGCATCCCTTCGGCTTCTGACTCCCACACACACACACCTCCTTCCCCCCCCCCCTCTTTCTACACGCTGCCCTCCCTCTCCTTAGACGCCTGGCCGAGGATTGTGATGACCATTTACTTCGCATCGCGACACACCGACAACCGTCATGAGTGATCAGCGAATGAAAAAGGATATCGAGAAAGAACATCTGAGCCCGACCGTTCCCGCCCCATCTATTTTCTTCGTTGTTCCGCCGTGCGAAGCACTCATTTCAAGCCGTCCGAGCAAAAACGAGTTGCTCTGCGGTCGGGTGACGTGCAAGACGAGCGTCCGCACTGCGCTACTGTTCACGATCATGATGAAGTTGCCATTTTACTATTGGAAGACGAGTCTGAACCCTGATGCATCGTTGCTATACGGCACTGATCAATGCGGTTTTTCCTGTTCTCTTGCATTTTGATGCCTGGCGTTATCAATGCTTTTGTTTGGTTGTTGTTTTTTTTGTTGTTGTTGTTTTCCTTTTTTTTTTTTTCTGTTTTTTTGTTTGTTTGTTTTTTGTTGCTGCTGGTTTTTTATGTGTTTGTTTGGCATCCCTGACACGTTTGAATACTTGTTTTTTTGTGCTGTCTTTTTGTTGTTTTTGTTGGTGCCTAGTTTGGTGGGAGTGTCCGGAAGGTCCTTGAAGAATTTTTTTTGTTTTTCGTTGCTGCCATGGCGAGCTTTGACATGTTGAGGGAGGACATCCTCGATGTCTTTAATGTGTTTGATGAGGAGGGCACCGGTAGTATCTCAATGCAGGAGCTGACCCGTGCTATCTACACCATCACTGGTACACGTATTTCGCGCTCGGATCTGCGGTCCCTCGTTCAGGCCGTGCAGGAGGAGATGAAGGAGGAGGCACATGCGAGAAAGACGCCTCTTGGGGTTGATCTCCCGCCCAGAGCAAATTCACTGGAGACGAGCATTTCGCCGAATGCGGATGGCGAGAACGACGCTGTCGACTCCAGCCTTTTTGTTGCTGTGGTACTGAAGACACTGAATCGACACACCTACGAGCAGGAGTTGCTTTTTACGTTTCATTTGCTGGAGGACAAGAACTATCCCGGGTTTATAACGAAGGATAGTCTTAAGAAGGCTGCGGCAGAGATGGAGGAGCACCTGACAGATCAGGAAGTAAATGAGATGTTTGATAAACTAGTGACTGGAATTTCATCTTCCGCAGTGGATTTTACGACTTTTACTTCAGTTTTGGAAGCGGCAAAGCGCATGGACGACTGATTTGATCGAGTTCTATTAAATTGTTTGAATATATCTGTGTGTGTTTACGTGGATGTAAAGGGTGGTTTGCTTGCTCTACGGATGAAGGTATATATATATATATATATATATATATATGCAGACATGTACCGCCGGGGAATGAAAGAGAGTTTTAGTTGCCCCTTTTAATTGTTTTCTTTTTCGTTTTTTTTTTTTTTTTTTTTATTGTTGTTGTTGTTTTTCCTTTTAATGATTTCTGTGTGGTTGTTTGTATTCTGCAGTCCCGTCCATCTGTTTTATTTTTGTTTTTTGTTGTTTTTTTCTCCCGTGATTTTTGTTTTGCCTCTGCTTACGAAAGGTGTGTGTGCGTGTCTTCTTTTTTTTTTTTTCTTTTAGACGTGCCACGGCTTCTCTTCTCTCGGATGACCTCCGCATCCGTCTGTCCGCTCTGCGCGCGCAACTTTAACATGTTGCTGTGGAAGCATGCGTGTGACTGCTGCAGGAAAACCGTTTGTGATGATTGTGCGCCCAAAGTAAATGGTAGACGTGAGTGCCGTGCTTGCGCTGCGAAGGCAAAAGAACAGCAATCGCGGCAGCGAAATCCGTCAAATCCCGCATCGGCGGAGGAGGAGCGGGCTGCACGTATGCGGGCCGCTGAGGAACGCATGAGGGCGGAGCAGCAGCGTGGTAGGCCACAGAGTCGGGGCGTGCAGAGGCCTGCACCCCCAGTGACAGCGCCTCCAAAAGAATTTTCGCTGCAGCAGGAGCGCGACTGCGGCACGCCGTCGCCATCACCACATGCCGGTGCGCCAACGCGAGCAAATGCAGAGGAAAACCCTGTTCTGGCTGCAGCGCTTCGTCGCCGGCAGCAAGAGCAGTTGGGCATGAAGGCCAATTGGGAAAACTCCTCCGAGAAGACGAGACTATTGACTGCGATTCTTGAGGTTCTTCATCAGCGAGGAGAAGAGGAGCCGTTTGGTCTTCGCTCAATGGATGAGGCGAAACTTCAAGCATACCTACGCTATGTTAAAAGCAAGGACAAGAAATCTGGTAGCGTCTAGGAGGAAGAAGAAAAACAAAAGAAGAAACGGTTTTTTTTTTTTTTTGTTCTTATATATATGGCTGGTCTTCCTTTTTGGAGCTATTATTCTCTAATTGTCAAAGTGTGTTAAATTGGGTGTTTAGAGCTTCAGGAACACATTCTTGATTGACTGTGACTCTGTGTGTGGGTGTGTGTTTGTGTATGCATGTGGGTTTACGCGCGTTTACGATTGCGAAAACCGAGTGTTATGGTCCTTTTTGTTTTTTGTTTGTTTGTTTGTTCGCTTTTGCTTGCTTTCGCCGCCCGTGTTTTGCGTGTGCAAACAAAGCCTCTCCCTTGTACTCTTTTTGTCTCTCTCTTTGTTGTGTGTGCGTGGCTGGGGTGAAGAGGAAGAAGGGAGGGGTGGTGTCAGGCATTCCCTCATTCTTCAAGCATACGCATTCAACACACACACACACACACACACAGACAGAGAGACAAATACACATACTTCTTCCCCTGACACTTAGACTTATGGAAAAGGCATTTGAAGGCGCTAAGCGTCGTCCCCGCGGCGTGCAGGAATTCCCTCATACGTCTGCATATTCAATGCGAAAAACGCACGGGCGCTGCGTCCCGCAAAGTGCCCCGGAGAATGAACGGAGGGGCAAAAGTGCCGAAGCAGGCAAGACGAGCGACGACAGAAACTGCTGTGGGAATTCTGCGAACGACGTGGCTGGCAGTAAAACGGCAATTACGAAGGTGGGGGCAGCTGAAACAGTGAAGAGTGACAATAGAGAAGAGATATTGATTGATTCTCCTACTTATGATGACGACAACCCCGACACCTCCTCCGAGAAAACGAGGGCGGGTGATTGTGACGGTGGCCCGACGCTGATGGAATTGGCCATGTGGGAGGCCGAGGTCACCAGAAGGCAGGCTGAGGTGGCGAGGGACGTTGGGTGCATCCGCAATTCTTTGGCCGTCTTGGATGCCTACATGGATGATGCAGCGGTTAACACACATAGTACTGGACCATTGGAGAAAGTGCCAAAAGGCACGGGGGTGGGAAACAAGAGGGAAGTAGTTGCACTAAAGATGAGTCCAAAGAAGGCCATTGGTGGACAGACAGCGGTGGCCAAAGATATCGTTCTCAGTTCTGATGGCGATGATGATTACTTACAGTTGACGCCGAGCCGAGGAGAAAAGCCTCCGGCAAGGGCAGGAGGTGCCAGGACTGTGCCCAACAAGAATGTGGCAATTGACACTACAGATCTTTAATGGGGATCATACCCTTTTTTCTTTTTTCCAAATTTTCTCTTCTGTAGTTTGTTACTATTTGTTGTTGCTTTTGTTGTTTATTTTGGATATCGTGAAATATGGACAAAAGGGAGGAAGAAGGGCGCTTCATCTCTCTCTCTCCCTCACTCTGCGTGTGTGTGTGTCTTTTGCTGTCCAGTCTTATTCTCTCCCTGCAGTGCGTACGGCAGGGGATGTATACATCACTTAACTTTTTCCTTGTTTTTTGACCTGGAACGCCTTTGAACCTTGCGGTGGGCTCGCGTGCAGCCTGTGCGGCGTGGGAAAGAGGAAAAAGAGGGTCAACACTGAAAGGGAAAAAATGAACGATGTACAAATTGGTGTGTTAGTGGCGATGTGTGTGGTGTTCGTTGTGGTCGCCTCAGTGTTGTTCTTTCTTCTCCGGCTATGGGGCTGCCGGCGCCGCACGGATCGAAAGCGGGCGGACGCCGATCCGCCCAAGGGAGGTGAGTACGTGCTGCACTTCATTGACTTTTCAGGGACCCCGCGTTCTGTCGACGTTCGAGCAATGGCCATCACGGATGCGAGGTCGCTGCAGTCTGCCCTGGCGGAGGCATGCGGGCTACCGGATGACACATCGTTAACGCTGCTGTGTCCGAATGGTATGGGACAACATGTGGAGATGGACCTTAACCAGCTGGCCTTTCCAGACAATCAGCTGGAGTCGCGCATGCGTCACACGGAGGAGCAGCCGCTGCTGTTATCCCGAGAAGTGAGCGATCCCCAATCCACCGGCACGGTGCGTCAACTGGTGGAACCCTCTCAGCAAAACTATTATGATGGAATTGATGTGAGCTACACGCGTAGTAGTGGTTGCGTGAAACACGCGGGCGACGTTTCGCATGGACCAGACAGTACGGGGGATGTGCCTCCTCCTATCATTTTGCCACTTTGTTCCCGAATTGGTTCCGCCACGCCGGTAAGCATCGCAGCGGTGCGGTACGTCGTGCAGGGCAGTGGCACCTTACTTGACAAGGACGCTGCGGCTTTCGTTGAGGAAGCGATGATGGGCAGCACGAGGCGCACCGTGACGCTCCCATGCGGTGCTCGTGTCATTGTGGTGCCTAGTGAACGTGCGGCATGGCTGCTTGATGATTACGACAGAAACGTGGGGGTCCCACTAATTAGAGAAGCGGCGGAGGTCGTACAATACAATGTGGGCAACATGGGTTCGGCACAGTGGCGCCCGTACAAGCACCCCATTTTCCTTCCACCCGGGCGTTGGTGCATCTGCGCAGAGTCCTCGACTGCCGATCACCGATTTGTTGAAACCGCCTCCCGCGTTTTTACTGTCGATATTGTGCCGCGGAAACGTTGAAGTGTTGGAAGGATCTATATCATCATACGAGACATCCGTCTAACACACATGCTGTGCGAGGGACTGAAAGGAAAGCAGAAAGACGCAAGGAACTGCTAATTCCTACGGCCGTTCATCTACGCAAGCTAGAGGCACAAGGAATACTTGGCTCCTTTTCATAAACCGGCACAAACGCACGCACGCATACGCGCTTTATTTTTCTAAACTGGCTGAAACGTCAGCCGAATGGGGGAGCGCTAAGGAAGATGGGAAGGCGAGACCTCCGTGTAGAGAGGCTCATGTGCATAAATAGATATTTTAATTGAAGGAGGTGTTGTGGGCAATTATGTCTTCAAATGACATCTATATCTTTGTTTCTTGTGTGTGTGTGTGTTTTTTCCTTTTCATTGTAGTGCCCCCACAACGACCCCATGTGTTGAGTCTTTATTTTTGTTCCCTTTTTCTCTTATTATTTTAGCCTGGCCTTGCTGCTCTCTCCCTTTCTAGATATAACTGGCGCGGGAAACAAACAAACTTGCGGGGAGCGGGAAATACATAGAACACATGCTTTCAGCCCTTCTCTCTGAGATTACTGCAGCGCCAACCAGAACGCGGCAAAATGTGGAACTTGAGACCGCTCTGGAGCATCATTTCTCTGAACTTGTTGTTCAGCACCGTCTCTTGAAAGCTGCGTTGCTCAATCTGATGGAGTTGGGGCAGCAGACAGCAGTGGGAGCAACTCCTGATGCGGACGCTGTAATTTTTGACAAAATCACCTCCGAAGACGGTACTATCTTAACGTGTGGCGTCACACTTGGCATGACGTATCTGGCAACAGCTCTCATCCTTAGTGGACATGCCATAGAAAGTGAAAACGCCGTTGTTGTTCTGAATGTTGTGGAGTGTCACCTGTTATCATTCGCTTCCACCGCTTACAACCATCTTCGTGGTCACAATTATGCCTTGCAGCGGTTTGGACAATTGCTGAATGGCTACGTTAATATCCTCGACCTTCGAGATCCGATGAATTATCAACGAAAGTTGTTTTATCTTCACCAGGCGGCCGTCAGTTTCTCTCCCTCACCAGAGTACCTCAGCGTCGCCCACGCACTGCTGGTGCGGGAAGCGACTCGCTGCCGTTGCCCGGGGCCCGCGCTTGCCGTTATGCGTCAACCCATACTTGAGGTGTCACCAGCAGACACCGGTGCAGGTCTCACATGTTTCCATAGTTACTACTGCAGTGGCGGCCTCTTGCTCGCTGCAATGCAATGTTGGGAGGATGCCACAGTTTGGCTACGCTCCGCTCTGTGTATGTCCAAAAACTTGCAGCGCAAATCGGCATTGGAAGCTCAAGCAGAAGTAGCAGTAACGACCACAGCAACCTTCTCAGCATCACCTACAACTGCATTGAGTGAGAGTGGTGGGATCCGTGACACGCTGTTGAGGGCGGCGAAGGCCTTCATCCTCGTTTCTATTATATCTCAAGGTGACCTCCATAACCCTGCTGACCGCAGGCGAGCACAACGCGTCATGCAGCAATTCCGTGGCGGTAACGCCGATCCCTACTTTAGGCTGCTTTCCGCGGCGGCCAAACGTGATGGAAAATTGTGGGACACCCTTGAGAAGCACTTTGAGTCCCTCTGGAAGCAAGAAGGAATGGCGGAACTTGTTGCTGAGGCCGGTCTTCGCTTGCGACGTCATGTCATTCGCGACATGGCAAAGGTAGCGAATCGGGTGTATTTGTCTGACATCCTCTCTGCTTTCCGCACCCACTTCCTTTTGGGGATGGGTGACGTCGATGATGCGAAAGAAATACCTGCCTTAATTCAGACGCTGTTGAATATGCAGGAGGAAGGGGAATTGCTCATCCGTCTTGAGAATGTGCATTCTGGGATGATGTGGGAGGAGAGCATGACGATGGAAGAAGAGGGAAATGACATGGGAGTGAAGTCATTGGTGGCACGTCTTGAGCTGCCACCGAAGCGCATTCCTGCAGTGCTGGGAACCCGTCGTCTTGGATGCGGGCTGCTTTCTCTGTCTGATATCGATATTGGGAAAAAGCAGCGCTACGAGCAGGTGCAGTTGCGTTGTGCCATGGAAGAGAGAATCCGACGATATGAAAGCGCACGTGCCGCGTTGATGCGAGCGACGGAAGAGGCGGGCATCGAAAATGCCCAACTTGCGGAGGATGACAGCGGTCGGTGATGAGAGTCACCACGACCACCAAGGGGAGAGCGCATCTTGTGTGTGCCTTACTTCTTTTCTGTTGTCGTTGTTGTTGTTCTCTCTTATTCATTGGAGTCATTTTGACTCCCTTCTTGACTGTGCAATTTTCATCGTCAAGAGTGAACAGAAGAGAGATGGAGAAAGAGAGAGAGAGGAAAAAAAAAAGAAAAAAAGAAGAGGTTTTTTCATTTTGTGGAGATTTGCCAAACGTGCGTGTCATGTCTGCTTTTGTGTGTGTGTATTTATTTCTTTGCCTCCTTCTTTTTTGTGTGCGTATTGCCGCGGCACAGTGGCGCCCTTAGCAAGGCGCCTCCACTTCATAGCCAGGGAAAGCACCTGCATGGGGTCGCAGAGTTGAATAGAAGCATACTTGCATTTGTCAACCCCCCACTCAAGGACGGAGAGGGAACGATCCTTTATTTTGCTATCCCCGCGAATATATATATATATATATATATATAAACGGCTGTTTTTGTCCGTCGGTTTGTGCGAGGCATCGTTGAGGATTCCGCAACGAGTATTAAACGGCGTTAATTTGCAGTAATGGGAATCACGGCAGGAATGGGTGGAAGAGTGTTTTTGCCCATCATCCTACTACTGCTGTGGACGCATGTTGGCAGGTTTTCGGAGGTAACGGTGGTGGCGGCTGTCACGCCGGTCGACAATCGTCAGCCACACCCTCATGGCACGGCGGCGCCCATCCCAGATGTCGAGAAGACACCGGAAATTCAGCGGAGACTTGACAAGGTAGGTGAAAGTGAGCTTGTCGTCACCAAGCTCTTCGTCCTTAACCGCCATGGACACCGCACCCCGAACGCACCCTATTGGGATTATTGCCCCAGGGATCGAAAGAATCGGCGTAATTACGACGTGTACGCCGAGGATCTGACGGGGTTGGGCATGAAGGAGGAGTATGAATTGGGACAGTACCTTCGGCAAAAGTATGCCGACATTATTGGGGATCGATTTAATCGCAGTTTACACTTCTTCCGCGCAGTGGGGGAGCCCCGTATTTTACAATCCGCTGTGGCCGTGTCGCAAGGGATATTTCCTGATGGTTTTGGCCCCGGCGGCTTTCTTCCTAATCGACCGCAGTTTGTCCCTGTCTTTTCAGATATGGATACACACGAGTATCTGCTGGACGACGTGCCCTGCTTTAGGCGTGCGGAGTCCGATGTGAAGCACTGGATCAAGAGCAGTCTTGCAGAATTTGTTGCTGATGCGAATGTTGCGGAGGTGTTAAAATACATGCGAAAAGTATGCGGAACCCCCACGAAAGAGCCAAATTCGTTGTTTGCATACATCAAAATCGTGGCTGATGGCATGATATTTAATACAGATTATGGCCTCAATGTGTGTGGTGGGAGTATCACGCCCGAAATGCTCTTTAGAATTCGAAATGTATCCATGCAGTTTCTCCTGGCACGACTTTATCACACCGACGAGCAGCAAACGTACACGGCCGTGGATCTGCCGTACCGTTTCCTCCGCATAATGAAGGAGAATAGCCCTCCATCGGGGAAAAAACTGAATGATTTTGTGGACACACGACAGGAATCCGTCTTTTACTTTGTTCACCGTGAGGCTCTCTATGCATTTGCGGGATTCTTTGGTTTCATGTACAATGTTCCCGGCCTTCCGCGCAATGAGCTGCCTGTTGCATCCACACTTATCGTCGAGAGGCTGGAACGGAAGCATTCATTGCGTCTTGACAAGGAGAGACTCACATACGTGAAGTTTATTCTGAAGACGCCGTATCATGGAACGAGCACCATTCAAATACCGCGATGCAAGATACCTCAGTTATGTAGATTGGATGAGTTGCAGCATATCTACGATCAACGTGTCGCGCGCACGGGGACATGGGAAAAGCTGTGTAACTACACCTACTCGGAAATTGACCACGATACTGATATTCGCTAATATATATATATATATATGCTGTTAGCTGTGTGAGAGTTGGCCAATGAAATATGATTGTCTTTTGCAAATAATGTTAACTATAAGTGAGTGGGAGGGGAGTGGAGTGTAGTCGGAGACAAGATTGTAAAGGGAGAGAGGGAGTCGAAAAGAATGAGATTTAAAGAAGTGAAGTGTGTGGTTGTATACATTTTTTTCTTTTCTTCTCTTGGCAATACACCACGTATGGCTACACCGTATGTAGAGCTGGTAGGCGAAGATGGAATTGGGCAGCGGCTAAAAGCCCTTACTTCTCTTGGGCATCGTTGATAACTGGCTCCATCTTTTTTTATTCCTGTCATTTTGCTGTTTTCCCAGCGAATATTACTCGGCCCTGGCACAATGTTGAGGTGGCCGGCTGCACCAGGGATATGTAAACACGTCTTGTAATTCCTTACATGTTTCCGCCATCACTCCGTTTGTGTGGCTCATTGATGCATCATTCCCTTCTTTTTTTTTTATCCTTTACTGTGGGCGGGGGCATGGGCCGAGCGAAGACGACTTGTTCACAGTACGCACCCTTCCCCAGTTTCCTCGCACACACATACACACACAGTGGGAGGAGCGCAAAACCCCCAACGGGGATAGCTGAGGGCGGGCAAACAGGGGGAGGCGGAAGGGACGAATAAGTATAAAGGAAAAGAAATAAATAAATGGATCCGTCGAAGCGTATTTGTTTGAAAAACATCCCTCCGGACTGCACCAAGCGGGAGATAGCAGAATTCGTTCGCAGCCGCTCGGGAGCTCAGCCACATAGCATTGACTTGGGGCTTGACAGGGAGGGACGTATCCGCCGCTATGCGCATTTTTCAGTTGAGGGAACGAAAAATGTTATTTCTGTGCTCTCCGGTGCCGTATGGCGTGGCGTGGCGGTGACGGCGCTTCCTGCAAAACCGCACTACATGTATCGTCTAGCCGAGGCGCGACGACAGCGTGAACGGCAGGAGGCGGAGGAGCGGGGATGCGTGGAGGCCGCATGGAAGGAGCGGACGGCGCGGTGGATGGAGAAGACGGGCGGCGAGCTGCGGAATGAAAAGCCACCCAAGTCGTTCTACGCCACGAGGCAGCGCTACGCCGCGGTCGCATCGGAGATTGCAAGGAAGCAGCGCGAAGAGCATCGGACAAAACGCGCCGCGTCGTTGACCAGCGGAGGTTGTGGCATGAGGAACCATCGCCATCAGAAGGAGGAAGAATTGGCAGCAGAAGAAGAAGAGGCTCCAGAAAAGAGGCATCCGCGGCAACGAGGAACGACCCGAAATAACTCAAATCTGCACTACAAGCACTCGCGTGGGGAAGGGAACGTCCCGGTAAGGAGGGAAAAGAAACCGAATACAGAGGCCCCTGTTGCAGCGACACAAAAAGAAAAGCAACAGCCCACGGTGCCCTCGAAAGAAGAGCGGAAACTTTCAGGACTGCAGGCGAAGTTGGCGGCCCTTCGTGCCAAAATGAAGTAATTGCGATGCCGTTGCGTGGGTGGGTGGGTGGGTGGGTGTGGAGCCAATGAAGGATGTGTTTGGTTTTTAGTGGTTTCTGCTCCTTTTAACACGAAGTTAAGGGAGAGGAAGAAATGCACTGAAATCTGTCACAGATGAAGCTTATCTCTCATCTTCACTTGCTCTGGAACTTCTGCAAGGCAGCTATTCTTCTTTTTTCATTTTTTTGTACTTTTTTTTTCTGTGTGTGTGTGTGTCCGTGTGAGGCACGCAACTCCTTTAATAGAGAGAAGGAAACTGTCACGTCATAAAACGGCTGAAATCCATAATAATAAGAAAGTGGGGAAATCAAAAGGCGGCACAGAGAAAGACACCCTCCTCGTGTCAAGGTCGGCACCATATTTTCTTCCGCGTTGTATTCTCTTCAATTGGAGAAGACAGCTTGTGTGAACATTTGTACAATTTTTCATTATTGCAGTTGGCGTCTTTAATTGGACGCATGAGTGAGGTGTGGGAGCACACAGATAGTTCGTTTCGTAGTGCTGATGCAAACGCACCGCCCCAGCAAGCGCGCCGCACGTCCACTTCCAACAGTAGTGACAAAGATATGGAGGTCGGCTCCGTCGCCGTGAGTGTGTCGATTGCCGGTTCTGCCTCGGTGAAGCGAAATGCGGCGATGATCCCGTTTTCTATGGTGCCCGATGATGACGACGATACGGAGAGTGAAAGCACGAGTAGTTTTGAAGGCAGCGAAGATGATGATGGAGATGCGGGCGCATCCCACAGTATTAGAAGTAGTGGTGGTGGTGGCAATGGTTTGCCGCTTAAGAGTGGAGGCGCAGACTCCACAGCGTCGTGTCTGAAAGACACCGACTCATGGAGGTCCGATTCCAGAGCGAGCGATGAGGAGGGAGCGGAATACCGCACGGGGGCCAAAGAAGCTTGTGGCAATACCACCGAGAAGAAAGAAGGCGTGTACTTCCAGCGGTGCAGCCCGTTGGTGGATACAGCAAACGCGTTTCTACCACTTCAAGGCAGGTTCCGATTGTGGGATTTTCCCCGTTTATTTTTTCGTATTTTATTCTTTTGCGATTGCTACACGGTTTGCAGCGCGATGTTGGTGTGCAGGCGATTCCATCAAATTGCGACGCACGATACGGTCTGGAGGAATATTCTCAACAGCATGAATCTACAGCCGCTTCTTGAGTTGCCCAAGACACCAACGCAGGATTACTACCAATACTTCCTGGAAGAAGTCATCACTACAAGGGCCCTTCATGGCCAGTACTTATTTAGGGCAGTATCTCCAGAAGAAACGTGGTATGGCATTGAAAGGACCAGAGGCAATGGCAGCGCGAAGAAAAATGCGCCGCAGCATTCTCCGATTTTTGACGATTCCCACTATCCCATCAATATGGCGATGCTGCTCATTTCTCCTGCCTCGCTCGGTCAAATGAACCACTCGATTGGTCGAATGCAGCTGCTAATAGAGTACAAGGACAAGAGAAAAGAGAATATTGAGGGCATAGCCCGTTTTTCGTGGCACCGTAGATGTTTTGTTTTTTGTTGCAGTTCAAATGTCTCAGGAGTACGTGGCCAAGTCTTTACAGTGGCCATCAGCACCGCACGGAAGCCGTGGTACAACCAGTCGATGGAGCAGTTTGAGGCGCACAAGGGCGGCCTTCGCTTCATTATGACACCTGTGCTCTTGGAGGGTGCTATCCCGGGATCAAGAATCACGGAGATGGACGTTGTTAGCGTTAGTTGCCCACGGACGTAGAAAACCAAGAAGAGGGAGAAGGATGTGTGAGTGAGAGCATTTTAAAAAAGCAAATGAAGGATGAATGTTTCACGTTTTTTTTTGTTTTTTTTTTGCTATTCTCACCAATTGATTAACTACACACACCTCCAATGTGCAGCTCTGTTAAGCGTGCGATGGGATTCAGAAGCAATGAATAACCCTACTTCCCGCGGGCAGCCATTACAGAATGGCTCCAACATCTGCCCTTCCGGCCCGTGAAACCAAGTAACAACTAATCATCGAGTCTGACATATGAACAGCAGGCGCTTAGCTTCCTCCTTAGTAAGAGAGTACTAGACCCTGGCACCACGTTGAGGTGGCCGGCTGTGCCAAGGAATGATTCATGTCACTTTATTGCTTTTGGGCGTTTGTGGCTGACGTGTTTTGCCATTTGATTTCTTGTTTATATCCGTTTTTGTTTTGTTTTTGTTTTTTAGTTCTTCCAACTCCACTGAAGCGTTTTTTTGGACGTGGTCCCTTATGTTCGTGTTTCTGTTTGTGTGGAAAAGGATGGAGTGAGCTGTTTTGTCTATCATTTTGCTGACATGGCCGGTCTGTTTCTTTCTCCGCTTCCTTCCGCGTGCTATCAATAGAAGGGAGAGTTATCGAGGGATTCAACTCGAAAAAAAAGAGCGTGTACATACGCCACAAAGGAAGTTTAGTGCAAGTTTGAGGGAAGGGGCAATCTGATCCGAGAGTGCTTGGAGAAAAAGAGAAAGAAAACAGGACAGGAAAGGAGGGTAGAGGAAAGATGTGGAGTGCTGCTGTTGATTTTGTTGGCACGATTTCTGACCGCATCATGGGTGCTCTGTTAGGCACCCAAGCACGTATCATTGAGTTCTTCCTTATTTGGCAGTATGGAAAACAAGTTGAGGGACAGCGTAGAACGCGACTCCGTCATCTTCGACAACAGCAGCAGCCTGCGGCACGTAACTCCCAAAGCACAGACTCATCTCGGACATCACATTCAGATGACGGAGAGGTGGATCACAGGCAGGCTGTGGCGGGTTTGACTCTTCTCGGCCAACGTGTGCCGAATCTCATGGGCGGTTATTATCGCCAAAAGCTGCAGTCAGTCTATGGAAGGCCGTTTTCTATGCTTGCCGAGGTGAAGCGGCGGAGGGAGCAAATCACCGAGGATGTCTGGTTGTACCGCCTCAACGTGCGCACTTCACCAACGACAAGGTCGGTCGAAGGAACCACAGAGTCCGCCACGGCGTCTCATTCAGGCCCACACACGAAAAATGCTCATGCACAGCCGTCCGAATCAGACGATATCCCCCTCTTGGTGTGGCTAGTGATGCCATGGGAATGTGAAGCTTCTGTTACCTTGCGTTTTGTTTTTCGGTTAGCGTATTCTTTGAGTTGCGATGCTCTCCTTGTAACAGTTCCGATGGATGATACTAGTGGACCCTCGGAGACAGTCAAGCTTCTCTTTGATGCGATAGAGGCTGGAAAACGTAAGACACATGCAAGACGTATTCTCATTGGAGGAAACGAACTTGCGGCGATGTTTGTGCTTCTCCTGCTGGAACGTCGCTGTCCTTTGCTTCAGGTAGGTGCTTACGCGGCCGCAGACCCGGAGGTGGCACGAAGTGCATTTTGTCAGGGGGTGATTCTTGTTGACCCCTTTGTTGGTTGGGAAACGTCTGTGCCCCCGCGTCCGACCACCACAGGCCGCTCGTCTTCTCGTGGGAACACTGGTTATTTTGAAAGCCGTGGCCGGCCCCCACCAAATGCGGGAGATGTGCTCTCAGCGAAGGATCGCTTCAAGCAGGTGGTGCTCAGCAGCAGCGGCGGTTGTATCCAGCAGTGGTTTCCCTCACCCATCACGTATGAGGCACCGCCCATAGTTGTACTTGTGGACGAGGGAGGATTCTGGCTGCAGGAGCAGTGTGACTTCAATGCGCGAGTGGATCGCTGTGGCGCTGAGGAGAATGGCGAGCGGGTCTTTTTTCTCCCGTACACCATTGAGAGGGCAGCCGCAGGGACGTTGGTGTCGTTAAGCTGCAAAATGGAAATTGAGCGGCTGTGTCGCATGGTGGAGAAATTTCTTGGGGAACGTCTTCAACGGAAAGAACCGAGCGCAGCTTCAACGTCGTCAGGCGACTGTCAGCAGCTCCGCAGGGACGATGGGGAGGTACGATCACGCCTAAGTGAGGGGGAGGCAACATTTCTTGCTGGATTTGTTGCCTAAAAAAAAAAAAATGAAGGCCGAGAAGAAAAAAGGAATATATATATATATATATATATATATATATTATAGATATATAAGTATTGCATTTGTCTTGTTTGTTTGCGGTATGATCTAAAAAAAAAAAAAAATGGGGGGGTGGGGAGAAATAAAGGAATGCGGAGGTGTGGCTTTCATCTGATGGGATGTGTAGAGCATTGTGTTCTCATCATCAGAGAAACAGCACGTATTGAAAAAGATTTTATGACTGCTGAGGAATTTTTCTGCCGTTCTTTTCACCGTCGTTAGTTGTTGTTGTTGTTTTTGGTTTATTATTTGCAGTTGTTGTGTTTTTTTTTTTTTCATTGATTTTTTTCTGTTTCGTTTTCTTATCTTGTTGATTTCTGTTTTCATTTGTTGTTGTTGTTGTTGTTGTGGCAGTGCTGTTTTTTTGTTTGTTTTTTAAAAAGGAGAGAAGGAGAAAGAGAGAGCGAACTGCGTTACTTTTGTGTTTTTTGTTGTTGTTTTTTTCTTTCTGTGTGTGTGTGTGTGTTTGCGTGTCTTTTCTTATTCATGTATTTCTTACCTTGATGCGCACTTAGCGACACTTGGCAACGCACCCGCAATAATGCATACGTCCGGTGTTGTATTTAAAGTAAGGAAGAAGAAAAGTATTTTATTTTGATTTCTTGCTGTGTTGGTCGGTTTGTTTTTTTTTGTTTGTTTGTTTGTCTTGTTTTGTTTTTTGAGGGGTGAGTTGTTTATTTTTGATGTTCTTTGATTTTGCCTTTGACGTGTATTGAAAGGGAAGGAGGGAATTCCGCCACATCACGCACACGAGGCGGTAACGTATATACATCTATACCTATATATCCATATGTATATATGTATATAGATATATATATGAAGAGAGAGAGAGAGAGAAGGGGGGGGGAGGGAGGGGGATTGTGTGTGTTGGCGTGGGGATGACAATTGTTGCTGTGGTGCTTTTTGTGCGAGGGAGAAAAAGGGGAAGGAGTAATGTTAACAAGGAAGTTTGTTTTTTTGCTTTTTTTTCTATCAGTTTTTTTTTTTTTTTTTTTTTTTTTTTTTGCTCTCTGCTTTTTTGTTGTTGTTTTTTTCTCCTTCCCCCTTTCTTTTCCGTTTTTTTTTTTTTTTCTTCTTTTTTTTTTTGGAAGGGGAGGGGGAAAAAAGGTGTATGCTGGCTTGCAGCGTTGGAAGAATGTGGGATGTATCAGCGCTGTTGGTGCTGGCTGCACCTCGTACGTGCACGCACCCACACAACACTTATCTAACTCAATGCGTCTAAATTTGTTTGTGCCACTTTGTTTAGAAATGAAATAGTGTCATACTCCTAAACCTTCAAAAGAGTATATATATATATTTATATTTATATTTATGTATATGTATACAATTTTCTCTTTACCTATGATAACAACAATATACATTTAAATGCATTGTGGCGGCGTTGCATGTTTGGTGCGGATGTGTGCGAGATTACTTCTCAGAAAAAAAAAATTTGCCGTTTTTTTTTTTTTTTTTTTTTGTTGTTGTTGTTGTCGTCGTCGTTGTTTTTATTTTAAGAGTTTGTAAGAGGGACGGGCGTGGATCAACATGTGTTTGGCAAAACAAATCCCATGATTATGATAAATAATATCTTTTTCTCCCACTGCTCTCATTGCATGTCTAGTTTTTTGCACGACTTCTTTCTTGAAATGCAGGTTTTTGCAATCAGGTGCGTGTTTAGGATGCTATCCATGAGAAGGCCGTCAATTTTTCGGAAGTGAAATAGCGGATCAGCAGCGTGGCCCGACAGCGGTTTTATTTTACACGCACCATGCCGAGGGCATCTTGAGCTTCTCGGAGGGCGCACGGTCGGCCCTGCGCACCGAATGGGCAGCATGGTGAAGGGAGAGGAATATGAATTTGGTGTCAGCCGTAAGGTTTTGGCCCTGAAATCCTCCGCAACGTCACGAGGGCCACAGCGGGAGGTGCCGAGGCGGCAAGAATGCAGTTTGTGGCGCCGCGCCAGGCAATGACTCGTGTTTGGGTTGTCACAGCCTCAAGATTAAGCGAGTTTGCCGCCACATGCGCTGACTATTGGGGGTGAAGTGTTGGTGGCTGGCGGCGTGTGTTTGTCTTTTTGTGGCAGTATGCCTTTCCTTGCGGCTGTTTGTTTCTTGTTGGTTGTATCGTCTGTAAATGATGTCCCCTCTTTCTGTGTGTTTGGTCCTTTTTTTTTTATTGTCTTTTATTTGCCTTTTGAGGTTTACTCGCCCATTCTTTGGTTAGGCATATTGGCACGGCCGCGAGCAACACACATGAAGTCCACCAGTTACCAGCCCATCCGTGTGCGGACGCTAGAGATCCTGTGGCACGGATGTGAGCGCGATGAGGAGGCGGTGCAACTGGGTTTACAGAGTGTCGCCATTGAAGGTATTGTGTCAATCGACTACAACAGTCAGAAGGATCGCATTGTCACTTGCGGCGGTGACGGCTATATACGTCTGTGGCAGCTGAACCCAGAAGCCACCGATAGTTGGCTTGCCAACAGTCAAAGTGACATGACGGCATGTGTCAGTTTTGTCGCCGGTATGCGGACGTCGTGGATGCCCTTGACGGCGCGTTGGTCCCCACACGGAAGTATGATTGCGTCCGCCCATTGTGATGGGAAAATATGTTTGTGGTGGCAAGAGAAGCATGAGGACGGGAAGAAGGAGGAGGAGTGGAAGGACTATCGACATCTTTCTGGCCATGTGATTGACGTCTATGATTTGTGCTTTTCGCCCGACTCGCGGTATCTTCTTAGTGCTGGTGGGGACGGCAGTGTTGTCATCCACGACCTTGAGGGCTCCACCGTGCCGGTGGTGCAGCTGACGGAGGTGCACCACAAGTTCTGTCGTGGGGTGGCATGGGACCCGTGGTGTAAATACGTCGCCAGTTTTGGTGGAGGACCCCCGCTGCTTTTCTTCACTCATACCGCAAAGACAACAGGGGCGTCACGACGGGTGCACTTGACAGGACAGCGCAAAGCGCCAGGGGATTATATTGGGGAATCTTGCGCCACAACTTTTCGGCGCTTTGGATGGTCTCCCGATGGATCTTTGGTGGCCGTTCCATACGGGAAAGCATCGCATCATTCTAACAGCCAGAATCAACATCATCAACATAAAAATAACAATAAAGATGCCAGTGAAACGCGTCGAGGGGACGATATGATCCATTGCGTCTACGTGTACACTCGCAATGCCTTGGACAAGGTAGCAGCTCGGCTGACTATCCGCGGCTACTCCGAGGTGCGTGGTGTGCTGTGGGCGCCGTGCTTCCTGCAGCCCCTTGACGAAGACGACGGTGACGGTGGCAGCGACGGCGGTAACGGCAGCGGTGTGGAAACGAGTGGGAGAAGCGAGGGTGAAAGAGAAGTGGCGCGGGGTGGGGAAGAAACGGCAACGAACAAAGCAGAGAGGCAGCGATGCGCTTTGGCTGCTCGTGGCTCATGGGGACCGGACAGCTACCGTATGGCAATGGCAGTCTGGACAGCGGATTCGGTGGTTGTGTACACGACGGACAGCGATGTACGCCACAGTGACTATACAGACCTTCACATGCGCAGCATCTCTGACGTGGCGTGGAGTCCCAATGCCAGATATCTGTTGACCGCCTCGCTTGATGGCTACGTCTCTGTCATATCCACCGGTGGCTCTCTTGGGATTGCCCACAAACTCCCACTCTTCTCCACTGAGCCTGTGACGGTGGGTTTGTGCTGCATGATGTCAGAGATCCACAGCCTCGGTGAGAAGCTGGAAACTGGAGGTCGGTCCGCGGCGAACAGTGCGACTGCGGCAAAGACCTCTTCGGGTGGCGGTGCCCTGTTGCATGCGCCTGTCAAGAAGAAGAGGAAGTTGGCGGAGGAGCCGCAGAAGCAGCAGCAAGAAAGTGTACAAACTATTGGGGCGATACCGCTCAGTGAGCTTTCAGAACTGATGGAGAACATTTGAGAATTGCAGCACGATTTTGTATTTTCTTAGCCACCAACTTACTCCCTGTTTTGGGGGGCTTTTCTTCTTCTTTTTCTCACGCTGCTTTACTTTTTTGCCTCTGACATATAGAGTCTGTCACACAGAGGATACCGTTGTGTGAGTATTGCTGCTTCTAGCAGCCCTGTCCAAAACTCTTTGCTTCGCATCTTTACGTATTATGCACAAATACAAAAAAAATGTTACGTCACCAGAACATTTTCTGTTCGCGGACTATTTCTTTTGTGGTTTTTTTTTTGCTGCGAGGAGACACGCAAACGAACTGCCTTTTTCTACTCCTCTTGCATTTTATGTGCATGTCCATTTTATTTGTGTATTCATATTACCCGTGCGTCTACGCATGTATTTTATTCACTGCCTTGCTTGTTTCCTGTAATGTGCACTGTCTGCACCGTCACGACCTTCTTAGGATCTGTAAGGAAAGAGGGAGAGTGAAAAAAATAAAAGGCAAAAAAAAAAAAAAAAGTGAGAGGAAAAGTTGTGCATAGACGCGGGAAGGAAAGAAATTGTTTCTGAGTGGTTCAGACAGATTTGGCAAAACAGACGTTTTACGATATTTTTGAGGATTCATGTCTATGCTTCACGATGTGTCAGGCGGCGTGCTCACGTCGCAGAATAATCTGAAAACTGCTGCGGGAGTCGCTACAGACCCCGGTGGTGATGTGCGCGGGAACATTGCGCGAATTACCGCGAGGGCCCGTCAACTGCTTGCCGATGACACGGACACACGTGTGGTGCGTAACGGCCTGAGTGCATATGAGACGTCGCGGAAAGTGGCGGCTGATATCTCGACGCGTGCGAAGACCCCCGGGCAAACCGGCCCGACGCAGGCATCGGTGGAACTCTTCATGGCCAGCCTTGGGTTCAACCTCAACGAGCAACAGCGTCTCCTGCAGCAGCTGCAGGCCAACCAGTTGCCGCTTACAGTCACGGGTGATGTTGGCACGGCCGCGAAGACTCCTGGTGCCTTTTTTCAAGAGCAGATCGATGACGAGTTGGGTAGCACTTTGGAAAGTTTTGTAGCGAACCGAAGAAATGAAATCATGCGGCGCAGCATGGAGGAAATGCATCATCGCGTGGAGGATTTGGTGCAGAAGCGCTCCGCGACCATCATACGTTCCTCCTGGGAAAAATGCTGCAACGAGGTGGCGGATGCATTTGAATCTTTCTCACTGAAGGCTTGTAGCGGCGGTGGCGATGTCTCTCGAATCAAAATGTCAACGTCCAGTTTAATCCCCGGTGGCTCCATGCGGCCACGTGCAGGAGTAAGAGCGCTACTGAATGGAAGAGATGCCACATCCATGCGTATTCTGAACAAAATTGCTGGCTTCGCGAATATCGTTGATACACAACCACCATTGCAGTGGATAAGGTGCTTTGCCGCCCATGTTGCGGATGACGCCCCGTCTGTTACAGATGACATTGCCCTTCTTTGGACGACGGTGGAGCAGATTGTGCAGCCAATCCTACAACTTGGCTCTGCCAGCACAACCCTGACGTTTGTTGCCTCCAGCCGACACATGATAGAGCGGAAGGCGCTCATTACTGTGCTGTCACGCATACTTAAGGTGGAACCTGAGAGGTTTGGTGAACTGGAGAATATGCATGCCACACGTGTTGTCAGTATTTTGGAGCGATACACATCATCTTCGAATCCGTGGGCACACATCTACGCTGCCATGCGCTGTGGCCGTTATGACGTTGCTGCCATGGTTGCCAATAATGTAGGACTCCGCTCGGTGGAAAAAAAACTTGAGGAATACGCCAACGCACACATGACAAGGCGCAGCACGTTACCTCCCGCAGTTGAACTGCGCCCGCTGTATGAAGAGGAGGATACTCGTTTGGATCCTTATCGACAGATTGTCCTGTTTCTTTTGTTACTCGGGAATACGGGAGAGAGCAGTGAAGTGGTCTTGTCAACTGTTGCATCACTTTCCTCAAAGGTAGCACGATCTCTCGAGGACACATTGTGGATCCGTCTTTTCTGTGTGCGCTCTATTGAGGTGCGAGACAACAATAAAGTCCAGTCCCTCACAGAGATGCAACGTCTGCTTCTGGATGACATGCAGGAACTTGTAGAATTGGTTCGTGGCGATGTAGTGCGTTTGGCGTCGCTGTTGATTCACGCGCTACTTCCCTCCTCTGGGTTGCGACTTCTTATTGAGGGTGACAGCACCTACGTGGATGGCATTCACCTCGCCATGTGCTTTCACAACTCGCAGCTCTTGCCATGCGATGACGTGGAGGTGCCAATCGACCTCGGTCGGCTCCTCCCACAGTACTGCTCACTTGTCCTACTTGACGTTGACAAACGCCATGCCCGCATTGCGTATGCAGGGGCGGCCGTGTTTCGCTACTTTCTGCGGACAAACCTCGTCGACGTCTTTGTTGAGTACTGCGGAAATGAGCTGGTGTGTGCGAAGCTGTTTGGGCACCGCGGGGGCAGTCGTGTAGGCGGCGACGGTATCCTTCTGCAAGAGACCCCATCCACAGAGCTCCTGGAGGCAATGGAGCGTGTGGCGGAAGCGGGTGCGGCGCGTGGCCAGACGGAACTTGCGGTGCATGTCTTCTCCGTCTTGGAGCGTGCCGCCGCGCTCGTGAAGGATGAGGCACGTGCAAATTATGCACTGAGTCGGGCTCTTCAGATTATCTGTCCAGCACTGTCACATGCCTTTCAACAGAAAGCATCCAGGGAGAGCACATGTCTTTTTATGCACGCCGCCGAACTGCAGGAGCGAGTCGCATGTTCCGAGCGTGTGATCCCGCATGCATACGCGGAGGCCTTTCAGCTACTTTGCACGATGAGTGAATTCTTTGTGAGTGTTGCGCGCGGCGAGGTGGAGGTCGCCCTTCGGTGCTTTTGGAGTCTCCCTTTTGTTCCAACCGCTGCAGATGACATTGAGCGCTGCGCCGAAATTTTTGACTCGGCGCCCGAGTCCGTGGCAACGGCCGCCCCGCCGATTGTACTGCTCGCTATGCAAAACATGTTAAAACTCGCAGAGGTGCTCAAGACAAGAGGACAGACGAACGACGCGACGCAAATAAAGCGGCGAGCGCAGACCGTAACAATGTGGGTGCGCCGCTGGAAAAGACACGTGGCCCGAAGTCTTATTGATGAACTGGCATCCCTAGAAGAGCTGTTTGCGCTCTGAAATTTGGGCGAAAGACCTGTAATGACTGATTGAAGGGTGTGCAGAGAGGGAGGGGAAGGGGAAAAAAAGGGGAAAGCGAGATCCTGTTGTGGTGCATGTTGGCATATGCAATGATATGCTTACAGGGGAGGAATGTAAAGAGGGGACTTAAGAAATATAAATATGTCAGTCGTTTCCAACGCATCAACCCTGTTTCCTGTACTTATTCTTTCTTATGTGTACACATGCATGCGTATTCATTGCTCATTTCTTTTTATCTCCAGACCTATTAACCCTTTAGATGTGCAAACCGCACAGTCCTAACATTTTTTTTTTTACTGCTACTCTTGTGGCGGAGGCTTTTTTTTTTTTTTCTCTCTTTAACTCCCTCTATTTGTTTTGCACTCTTTGTCTGTTGATGATGTCCAAAAGTAGCATGACACTCTTTTCGCTCCGTGTTGTTCTTCCTCTTCTGCTTTTTCCTTTTGTTGGTCTTTTCTTCTTTTCACGGCATGCCCGTTAATAAAGGCCAAGGTTTTTTTGTTTCCTTGTAGACTCCAATGGAGAAGCAGTTGGATATTATCGCGTCTGATTTTGCGGCGCTCTACCATGAGATGGTTAAACATCTTGTTCTGACACCACATGGGCTCAACATGGATGCGTTCCAGGCCGTGTTTGACCGCATGCACGTGGAGTACCTGCACTACGCCGGGTCAAGCACCACGCAACCGTTCTACATGGATGTTATTGAGAATGTGCTTCAGCTTGCCGCCGCGTATCTATCGCTGCCGACAGATGTGAGCCCCAATAGTCGCGCATTTGGTTTGTACCTTGTATTCTTCCTTTATTCGACACAGCCATGCATCGAGTCGTCACCAGTGAGTGTGCGGATAGCGCTTGGGACACTGCAGAGCTACTTGGATGATATTGACGATACTGCGGGGGCACAGCAAACCGTTTTCTCTCAATTAGGGCGTCGTGTGACGGAAGACGAGAGACGAATACTTCTCGCCCTCCACCAAGCACGGGCGTGGCATGTCATGCCCTTTGTTGACGTCTCATTGCATCTGCAGGCATTACTGAAGGCGCACGATTCTGAAGGCGTGCCGCTTGTAATGAGTGCTGCCACCAAGCGGCCGCAAGTTTTAAATACAGTTAGGACTGATGGAGCCCTATCAAAGGAGTTAGAGGCATACGAAGCGTTGAAGCGGCGCTTGGGCCTCGATGATGTCTTCGGGAAGAGATGAAATAAATTTTTGCTTTCTACTTGTTAGGGGATTTATACTTTGTGGTCTTGTATTCTTCCCCCTTATGCATCCATGTGTACGTATATTTGTCTTTGTTTCCTGTGTTTCTTTCATCTGTTGGATTACTACCCTCTGATACCGCTCCAGCTGAGCACCTCGCATTCATAAGCGCAAGGAAGAGAGGGGACGGAGGGAGGGAAAGGAGGAAATGAATCCCCTTTTCTGTCGCCAGTGCACATCTTGTATGTTGCGGAATGCGTTGAATTGTATTCGACTTTCCTCCCGCCATTATGCCAACACATCCACCGGTGCCTCACGTAAAGGCTCACTGGAACTTGTCGATGTTTTGTGCGGTGGTGTGGGCCCTTCCACCCACGGCATGAATGAGGTTCCAGGGGAAATGAAGGAGGGGGAGATTAGACATCGAAAGAAGGAGGTTTTCAGTGGCGATGGCAGCGGGGCCAATGGCTCCCCGTACATGGTTCAGATCGCTGATAGGTACGGCATGCCAGCGGAGCTCCCAGCCGGGGCGTCACAGTCGTTTGAGGAGTTGGAGAAATTGTGCCCCAGCGACACGCTTCGGGAGCAGCTGCAGCAATTACGGGCCTCGCGACGCTGGGAAACCTTGACGGTGGTGCAGCGGGCTGTCATCCCTTTGATTTTGGATCATCGCGATGTCCTCTGCATTGCACCGACAGCGACAGGTAAGACTTTTTGTTACGTGTTTCCCTCCATGTTGCGTTTAGTTCTACATGCGAGGGGAATTGAAGGTGCCGTCGCTGACAGCAGCGACAACGAGTTAAGCCGGTCCAATGTTGAGACGTTGCTGAAAGAAAAGATTGCGCGGGGGGAGATTTGTCGTTACTGTGAACTCGGTATCGCAGATGTGAAGGTGTGTCCCATGACAGGCACCCCGCACCCGCCCGTGCCGGAGCTGCTGGACAAGCAGCTGCGAGGAGCGATGTGGCTCAATGAGCTGACCTCAGTGGCGGAGCCTCTCGTGCTGATTCTCGTACCCACGTCTCAGTTGGCGATGCAGGTGCATCAATTATGTACCCAACTGCACGTCGACTTTCGAGTCAAGTTTCTCGTGCGTGCCTCCAGCGCGGAAGAACAAAAACGTCATCTGAATGCGTTGGAGGGCTGTGATGTGCTCATTACCACACCAGAGACTATGCTGCCCGCTCTCTACAAGCGCAAGCTGAGTTTGAGGCGCGTCAAGATGCTCGTGATGGATGAAGTGGACGATTTGGTCTCCGTGAACCACTTTGAGAAAGTGAAGATTATTCTCGGTGCCCTCCCCAAAGGGCATGATCGGCCCCAGCGACTTTTGTTCGGCGCCTCACTGCCTCCGGTGGCGTATCAAATGGTGAGGGAACAGATGTTGCTGCCATCCCATCGTTTTGTTCTCGCTGACGTCAAAACGGACAAACTTGGACACGCGCTTGTGGACGGTCGTTCGACCGCTAGTGCAGCCATCACCCACGTCGTGTTCATGGTGTCACAGGTAGAGAAGATTAGCAAGCTGGCCTGGCTGTACAGCACGGGTAAGCTCCGTCCTGACCAGCGCACCCTCATCTTTTGCAACTCGCGTCACAATGTGGCTTATGTCGCTGAGCAGCTGCAGAAACTTGTGCCGGATCTGCACGTCACGACCCTCACCTCCCGCTCCTCAGCCACGGGGAAGATGGGAACTCTAAAACTTTTTCGAAGCGGTGTCTCCACATGCCTGGTGTGCACAGACATACTCAGTCGTGGGATTGACTTTCATAACGTTGTTTACGTCGTTCACTATGACACTCCGCTGGAGTTTGACACTTGGGTGCACCGCAGTGGACGCTGTGGCCGGCACGGAGTGTCCGGATACTGCTATACATTTTTCCAGCCAGAAAGCGTCAAGCTGGCAAAGCCGTTGGTGGCACATCTGCGGCAAACGCAGCAGCTGATTCCACCAAAGCTGCAGGAATACGCGAATCAGTCACTTGTTGACACGTTCAAGAGCTCCTTGTTTTACCACCCAACACGGCCGTACCGTTCAGGCGATCCACAGCGTCATCACCCTGTGATGGGCCGTGGAATGCCGCGCTTCCCTGACTACAAGCAGGAGCGATTAAATAAAAACTTTCGACCCCTTTAATGTTGGTGAGGAGGGAAATGAGGATGCGGGGATCGTTCATTTCCCTGCATTGCAGACATGCATGCATAAATGTGTGTATCACCCGTTAGCGGGATCCACTCACAGGCGCAGCTCGGCAAGAAATACAGTTCTCTCGTAGGTATACAAAGGGAGGTGGATGTTGTTGATGGCTCCAATTCCATTTGCGTCATCAGCGGCACTCATGAAAATGCACTGAGGTTGTGAATGAGGCCTTTTTTTTTTTTTTTTTTTTTGTAGACTTTTGGAAAAGAGAAGTTTCTGAAGATAAGAAGGAAAAAAAGAGGGGGAAGATGACGTTTTGATTTGCCGCACGTTATAATTTGCCATTGGGCTCCGTGGTCCTGGTGTTGCTGCTTTGAGTTCCTTTGGGAAAAAAAAGCAAGAGAGCTTGTTGTAACGGACACGTTTTCTCGGTCATGTCAAAAAGTCCACCTCAATTCATATGCGTTTTTGTCTCGTCGCATCATGTTGAATAAAATTGGAGGTTGTGATCTCTTCTTCACATATCGTTTCCGCTCTTACTCTCTCCCTGTTTCTGTCTCCCCTTGCTGAGAGGCTTTTTCTCCTTTTGGATTGAGGCTACCTTGTGGTTGCTTTCATTTCTTTTTTTTTTTTTTTTTTGTCTTGCGTTCTCTTCTTTCTCTTCTTTTTTTTTTTTTTTTTTTTTGACGCCGGCAACTGCTTGTCATTGTTTTGCAGTAACATTTGTCTTTTTCTAGGGGCCTATTGCTAACATCCATCGCTTCAATAGCAGAGTGTGGGAAGAGGAAAAGAAAATGCCGCAGGTGAGTGCAGAGAAGGCCGTCGGTGCGGGTGTGACGGATGTGGTGCGCATTGACGGTGTGTACTACGACACAATGAAGCTTGCCGCTATTCATCCGGGCGGTCCCATGATGATTAAAATGGCCAATGGCACCGATGCCACACGCATATTTGTCAGCTACCACCGCCGGCGGTTCCCCCATACAAAGTACAAGCAAATGCAAGTGGCGGCAGCGGAAGTGAAGTGTGAACTGATCGCCGAAGAAGACACGCCCAACTTTGATTTGTACTTGGAGCTTTGTGAAAGAGTGCGGCCGATTCTGAAGCCCACGAATGGATTTGCTCCCTGGTATTACTTCATTAAGGCTGCAGTGTGGTGCCTACTTGTGTTGAGCCTGGACTTGTACGCCGTCTTCGCATGGCGTCCACACTCCCTAACGCTTCTTCAATCACTCGCCATGGCAATGGTGGGGTTGAATGTGCAGCATGATGCCAATCACGGGGCACTGAGTCGGAACCCTGTCGTCAACAGAGTTTTTGGTTTGATGCAAGATCTACTGGGGGGCAGTTCTATGAGCTGGATTATTCATCATGACTTTATTCATCACATCTACACCAATGATCCGCATCGTGATCTTGATTTGGAAATTCCTTTGCTGAGGCTGCACCGTTTTGTTCCCAAGCGCTATTACTATGGTCTTCAGCATTTTTACTTCCTGTTCCTTGAAGCCGTCTTTGGGCCTATTCATGTGGCTTCAAATTTTTTCTTTCTGTGGTCTGGGCCGCAGAAGAGGCTTTGGTTACTCCGCGATGAGTGGAGACTCAGCTGTCTCCTGACGACAATACCTCTTTTACGTTTAGCATTTAATTTTCTGCATGCCCCCAGCATATTTGATGCATTGTTGGGGTCATTTTTTCAGTACATCTTGGGTGGGATGTATCTTGCTTTCTTTTTCCTGGTTTCCCACAACTTTGCCGGGGTGAAGAAGCAAGGAACCAGTGACGGTGAGTGCTTTCTGAGAGCTCAGGTGGAGACAAGCAGCAGTGTGGGTGGGTGGTGGCTGGGCCACATAAATGGTGGCCTGAACTACCAGATTGAGCACCACCTTTTCCCACGTGTTCATCACAGTTATTATCACTACATTGCTCCCATCGTAAAGGACTTTTGTTTAAAGCATGGTGTTTCTTACATTTATTTTAATACACTGTGGGATAATGTGGCCAGTACCGTGAAACATCTGAACACGTATGGGCATGGCAAGGAAGAGGAGCTGGCAGGTAAAAAATAAGGCGGGGGCAAATAACTAAGTGAGAGAAGGAAATGTGTCTACATGCATCAGGGCGTATCGTCGTGATTTGTGGTAGAAAAAGGAAAAGTGTCAGCAGACGAAGAAATGATGCATGTTGATTTGCACTTTTTTTTCTTTTCCATTTAATTCACTGAGCGGGTCGTTTTGAATTATAAATGTAGATTCCTACCTTTCTTCTTTTATTTTTCTTTTTCTTTCCTTCTCTCCCTTGTTTTTTATGTATTCAAATAAGTACGTCATAATTTATCTGGAGGGAGAGCCGACCCCCCGGGAGTATCAGCCGGTGTGGGTGAAATGGCGAGCAACAACGCAAAAAAAAAAAAAGAAATGTCCTATTTGACTGTCTCTGTGTTGTGCTTCCACTCCCACTCTCCCATATATGTGTTAATCTCGAGGCTTACAATATGTATTTGACTTCATGACTCTCCATTGCGTGGAAAACCGGTTAAGTGATCTCCATCTTGGCCTCTCCGTCACCCTTCTCTCCCTCTCTTTCCACCCTCTCCCTCTGCACCTCATGATAATAATAATAATAATAATGCAGGGAAAGGGTTTACTCTCGTTCTTGTTGTTTTTATTTATACGTAAAGAAATTATTTAAAAAAGGGAATAAATAAATTTATTATTATCATTATTTTTTGTCTACTGGTGGAATGCCGACTGTTCGCGTGCAGGGTGATCGCAACGTGCAATACACGGAGGAGGCCATAACAGCCAAATACGTGTACCGTACGACGCGCGTCAAGGAATCCAAGGAGGAGGTGATTGTGGGGCCGGTAAACGTTGCGTTGCGATTTCGCACACTTCGAAAAAGAGCGAAATGTGGTCTCATGATGGTGGGGTGGGGCGGGAACAATGGATCAACCGTGACAGCGGGTATTCTGGCCAACAAGCATGGATTAACGTGGCGCACAAAGAAGGGGGTTTTGCATCCAAACTATTTTGGATCCATCACGCAGTCCAGCACGCTGAATTTGGGGATGACAAGTGACATGAAGGAGGTGTTTGTACCGCTGAAGGATGTTGTGCCGATGATAAACCCGAATGATCTCGCCATTGGTGGGTGGGATTGCAGTGGAATGAGCCTTGTCGATGCGATGCACCGTGCTCAGGTGTTGGATGTTGCTCTCCAGGATGCACTGTATGAATACATGCGGGACATGAAGCCCTTGCCTGCCGTTTTTGACCTGGATTTTGTGGCGGAAAATCAGCAGGAGCGTGCCGATAACATTTTATCCGTGCAACACAAGTGGGAGGCAGTGGAGAAGCTGCGGTCCGACATCCGCACATTTAAGAAGGTGCATGAG